AGTTGGCCTCCTCCACCTCTTATTACTTCATGGAGATTAATAACATTTCTGTCTACAGGCAGAGGATTAGATAAGATGAATGATGGAGTTCCACTTTATGTATTCTTTATCTACTTTACCTTAAAATAGTGTCATGAATCAGCCAAACTGCTATGCTGTGAACACAGAATGTATATTCATGCACAAAAGGAATTAAACCACTGTTATACCCTGTGTATAATTTTGCTTACACCCATTTATTTTCATGTGAGCAACTTGATAGGTTTTTAGTTTATGGTTGTTGGTAAAATTAACTTCCTTGTAGCAGAGAACCCAGGTTTCTTTGGTCCTTCTGGCCGTTATCTAGCAGCTTCTAGAACAGCCGTGGGCAAACTACGGCCCGCGGCCCGGATCCGGCCCGTTTGAAATGAATAAAACTAAAAAAAAAAAAAAAAAAAAGACCGTACCCTTTTATGTAATGATGTTTACTTTGAATTTATATTAGTTCACACAAACACTCCATCCATGCTTTTGTTCCGGCCCTCCGGTCCAGTTTAAGAACCCATTGTGGCCCTCGAGTCAAAAAGTTTGCCCACCCCTGTTCTAGAAGCTTCTCTCAGGTCCCTGACACATGGCCCCCTCCACAGGCCCTTCTAAATGCTCTGATTTCAGAAAAGTCCCAATCCCCTTTAAAGGCTCAGGTGATTCCATCAGGCCCACCCAGATAATCTTTTGATTACTGCAACTGATCGGGACCTTGATTATATCTGCAAAGTCCCTTTTGCCAATAATACAATCATGGGAGTCATATCTCATTTTAGTCACAAGTTCTACCCACACTTAATGGGAGGAGATTATACAAGAGCAAAGGTCACTGGGGTCATCTTCAAATCCTGCCACACCCTCCTCTCTCTCTCTGCTGGGTAAACCACTATTCACTATCCAGGAGCTCATTTAGATGCACCTTCTGGATTAAGCAATCCTGACATCCTCAGGCTGAGCTGCTGGCCCGGTGCTCACTGAGGGTCCCTGTTTATCCCAATACTATCATAGATACTTATCACATCATGTTATACCTCTCTGTGTATGTATCTGTCTGAATTAAGAGGTAAGGAACTGGGAATACTGTGGAATTCTCAGTATTCTGCAGACTCCATGTTTGTGGAAAGTGTGTTCTGGGTGTAAGAGTGAGGGCATAATGCCAAGTAAAGCATGAGTCCCTTTGACCTTGTACATCCCTTGTACACCCTTCATGCCAATGGTACGTACACAGGATTCAAATGTCAACCTTGAACTGCTCTTCACATTCATCCTGCGTTCACGTTGGCTCATGAAGAACTAGATCCTGGATCATATGAGAAAACATTCTCAGTAAAATGAGTAGGAAGATGCTAAAGAAGAGGTATCATTTTCTTCTTACTAAAAAATTTAACCGTTATTTTGTGTCTGCTGTGCAAATGAATGTCATAGAAGAATGAAGCGAGAGCCCCATTGGCATCCATAAAAGAACTTTAGAATGGAAGTTAGTTACCCATTGCTTTTTCCCCCGGGAAATCTCTCATAAAGGAATTCAAAACGAACGTGCTTGGTTCTTCCTCCCAAGAGCCAGCCAGTTCAGGTCTCATCCACTCTTTCTAGGACCAGGGAACCCCGTTTTGTGCGCCATCCCCTCCAGGTGTGCAGAGTGGAGATGGAAACCACGCGAGATGACTGGCTG